TATTGAAGCAGGGGTTGGTCTCTTCTCCCAGGGAACTAGCGATAGGACAATGGCCCCCGGTTGCGTTGGGGGAGGTTTAGATTGGATATTAGGAAAAATTTCTATACTGATAAAGAGTGGTCAGGCATTGGAACAGGCTTCCCAGGGAAGTGGTTGAGTCACCATCCCTGGAGTTGTTTAGAAAGCGTGTAGATATGGCACTTTGCGACATGGTTTATCAGGCATGGTGGTGTTGGGGTGACGGTTGGACGATTCTAGGATGCTGTGATTCATAAAAATGTAGTTAGTGGTGCATTCTTCACTCTTACGTTATGGTGGAAGTTTACATGTAACATACGTTTGTCTTGATTTATCCCTATCCATATATCTTCTCTCATTTATCAATAGTTCACTGCATACTGCAAAGTGGGTTGAGTAGGAACAAAATAAATTTTATGTGAAGAGATTATTGTGCTTGCCTTCTCAAAGGCTTTGGTGAGCAGAACATTTTGTTTCTGTTGTATGTTTGGACTTGCTGAACAGTCAGGAAGATACCTAAGCCTATCTATAAAAATAAGGCTGTTCCAGAAGTCTGTTAGCCAATAAGTGGACTAAAAGTAATACCACATTTTTTTCACTATTTATGGAGGGAGTAAAAGTATTTAATTCTCTCTCTGCTATACAGGGTTTAACTTCAGTCAATGTCTGGTGTGCAGTTTTCGAGTAGACATATTTGAGCACATTTGGCTTCTGGAGGCTTATAAGAATTGTTTCCTGCTAATGACTGGAACTAGCAGCATTCATTTGATAAAGTGTAGAACTGTATGTCAAAAATTGGACCTTTTTTTTTCTTTTTACATAATTTTAATACATACATGCTATTTTTCATCCTTATTATGGGAGCATCATGTAGCACTGAGTGGGGATGAAGTTGTTAATGTACTATCAGTTAAGGCAAATCTGCATAATTGAACATCAAACTGCCCATAAGCCAGTGTCCTGTCTTAGTATATTCAGCAAACATGCAGAGTTTTATGGACTAAATTATTTTCCTCTTATTAGACAGAATTACAAGCTTTAATTAGAGACTACATTGAGAGTGGTAAATTTGTAACTAATAGACTTGTACAATACTGCTGCAGGCAAAGTAACAGCTAAATTTGTGTGGTTTTGTAAAAGGTTAAAATGTTTCAGTAACATCCTTCATAGTGGATTTACTTATACCTCTGAAAGCTGAGTACTAAAGGTTGATAGTTGCACTGATTTGCTTAGGCCCACGTTTACAGTAAAATGTTTTGTTCAGGGATATCTGTCTTTAATACTTGACAATAAATTTCGCATGTTCTCCTCATGAACTGTGAGTAGGACTTTTTGGTGGCCCAGTTAGTCTTGCTTAGTAATTCAGTTCGTGAAGGATCAACACCTTTTTATTTTAGAAAGTTGTTGCTCACTTCTTTGCAAGGAATTCCAGTGTTCAGCTAGTGTGAATGCTCTTGAATAAAACAAGCATTTATTAAATTCTATTTGGTTTCTTGTAAAAACTGTTGCCTTGTCCCCTGTTTACTTTTGGGCCTCAACCTTTGGCATCTTGGCAAAATTAAATACATAAATGTACCCTGACAAGGACTTTGGCTGTAGTAATAGTAGTAATTTTAAACATCTGGGTGTTGGAGGGAGGTGGATTGAGGAAGAGGACTTAATTTCTCATGATTGCACATTGACTCATGGTTTCTATGGTGTGGGTGTACCACTTGGGAAACAACCCAGGTCAATAAACTGGTCTTCTGGAGAAGATGATGAGCACCTTGCCCAAACTTCTGAAAATTGACATCCAGCAGTATTAGTGATTGCTGATAAGTTTATTAACAAGCATACTAATTTATGTGCTGCAATTCTGGTGGGGGCAGTCTGTGTAGGAATAATGCACAGTTAATGTCCAAATTATCACTGATGCATTGGAATATGTTACATATTGCAAGAAACCAAGCATATTTGCTAAAAGATGCTCTAGAAAATTACTTTGACAATCTTATGATAAAGTACCTTTTCTTTGCAAAGCGAATACTTAAGAAGTTAGGGCTTTCATTTAGGCTGCTTGGGTATTGCTGTGCTCGATCTCATGTCACTTTATTCTATGAGACCTTGCCACATTAGTGTGTAGAATGAAGAACTAGGATTTCATTAACTCATGTGAATTATGTTGGAAGAAGAAAGATTTAAACTACAAACTTATTCTGGTGCTTTTTTCTTTGTTTTGGGTTTATAGTGCAGAATAGTGCTACTTAGTTATGCTAGGCTGTTACTATTTGGTGGAAGGATTTGGTATTTTTTTCTGAAGATCCTAGGATAAAACACTTTTTTAATGAAAATACATCTGTTGTGTATAGTGGGTGAGTGGAGAGTCTTTTCAATCTGTTAAGCTGCTATATCAATGCCACCTTTTGAGAGCTGCAAGACATACCACCCACATGCTGTGGAGAGACAGATTATTTTTTAGCCTTTGTGGATCTGTGATTGGGTTTGCATGTTGGATCCCAGTCCCGTGGAGCAACAGAAGATGTAAACATCCCTATATACTCTAGTCTCACCTGACTGATATTTAGGTTTCTTAATATCTTAATTACCAGTCACTCTGGAAGAAATATGCAAACTTTCCATGTGGCTTGGAATCAGTAGGGTTAGTTTGGCTGATAGTAGGTTAGTGTATTAGTTTTTAGGCTTTGGCAGAGGGGCTTTGTTTTAAATGTTGTTTTTGTTTTTAAATCAGGAGCCAATGAAGTCGAGAGCACCACAGCTACATTTGGAATACAGATTCTACAAGCAGCTAGGATCTGGAGGTAAAAAGCAGTGTCATGCATTTTACTGTGATGTAATCAAGGATCAATTTTTGACAGAAGTCTTCTGATTTAGGGGTATCAATCTATTTAATAAGTGTCCCTAGTGACTTAAAGCAGAAAAAAGCCCAGTGAGTCAGTGGATTAATGTATAATTTTTTCTAGTATTGGAAGACTTTTTTGTCTGCTCTTTAAAGTGTGTCTGTGAAATTCTGAGACTGTGTATAAGACTTAAACATCACAGAGTTTGTGTGCATGTGGGTATACCTTAAACTAAGCAGTCTTAGACTATTCCCAGTGTGTTCTCTTTGAATAAACACTATAAATGATCAAACTGCTAATCTACTAATCACGTATTTTTAAATATCATAGCAACTTTAAATAGCTTCGGTCTTAGTTTTACTTTATTTCACTGCCACTGATACAGCATATATTGCTCCTTACTAGTTTTAAGCCTCTTAAATACTTTTTAAGAAGGTTTAACTTTAAATGCAATTTAAGATATGAGTTTCTGATTTTGCTCCTGTTGATGCTTTTACACACAGAAATACTCTTACGATGGTCCCCCTCAGTGATCTAATTATCACCTTTTGCTTTTATTACATGAGCAATACCTCAAACTTCTCACATATTTTTGTACTTTTTGCAAAACCATACATAGTCAGTTAGCAAGATGTGAAGCTTCTTAAGCTAGGAAAGTGAGTACAAATCTTCCCTATATCAGTTATACCGTAGGAAAAAAATCTTATTATATCTTTTCATTGAAAGTGTTCCATTAAGTCCATAAATAGTTTTTCATAGGTCATGTAATTACGTACTTTTTTCCACTTTCTTACTAATGTAGTAGTTTATTGTATAAAATGGACTATTAATAGTTGTTTTCTACATGCACGCTCTTTTTTTTTCCTATAAAAGGCAGCCTAGTTTTTGTAACAGTGATTTAAAGTTATGCTTAAATTACAGTAAAATACTATTAAAGCTGAAAAGTCAGTTTCAAAAGTCAGGGGATACAAAATGAACATGCCTTGAATGTGTTTGTTATCATGAATTTTAATACTTTAAAATACTACTTTCAGTTTCAAGAATTCAAGATCATATGTTCATTGATGCACAGAGTGGATGGTGTTTCTCTAGTTAGGTAGCTTTCAATATTTTGTGGTATTCTTTAGAAACCCTTTCTGGGGGAATATACTTTCCAATACTTTCAATTCATCTAGAACTTTTTTTGATGCTGTAGTATGAATGCTCTGCAACCAGAAATCTTTAGAGATAAGTCTTTGCAAGATATGACATTGTCTATTGCTGTTCATAGATGGAAGATTAGATTGCAGAATCTCTAGTCAAAATCTTGAGTCTTATTTGCTTGCTAACTGGAGAAAGTCGTCAGGGTATAATATCTGTTTTTTTGTAAGTAGTTGCAAATCTTCAGCATAAACTAGCATTGTGAAATAGCGGACAAGTGGAAAGCAGAGATCTGAATTGCTTAACTAATGAGACGGCAACCCACAAGCTAGGGACAATACCCAGCTGTGAAAACCAAGGTGTACCATCTAAAATTGCAAAGGAGCTGTGTAGGAGAGGTAAGAATAAAGCTGTAATTACTAGCTCAAACTGCAGAAAATAGGCACTGCTTCTCAGGTGCCAGGAACCCTTGTGGTAATATTTCTTGGGAAAAATGTCTTGGAAAGGTAAACAAAGTTACATTTGCTGTTTACTGAAGAAGATTGATGGACTGTGTTTAATGCAAGAATGTAGGCAAGTCAAAGGTAGTCTGCTTTACTTTGGGTATCATTCAGTCTTTGTAAACCCTATTTGTTGGTTGCAACAACTTTACTGCTTTCTCTGTTGCCTCACTGAAATACTGTAAGGGAGGATGGTCTCTCTGATTCTTTGTATCTTCAATATTTATGAAGAACCTTGTTACAGAGGTCCTCTGTTTTCAAAGTAACCTGCTTTTGTTCCAAAATGAAAGCCTTCCTGAGCAGGCATAGAACCCAATAAGCTCCTGTTACAGTCTTCTCCAACTTTCTCAGACAACCCACTTGAAACTCATTTTAATGTTTTTTTTTGGGAAAGACTCATCATGAAGAAAGTAATATTCATGCTCTCATCTTCTTAGAAAGAAGTTTAAAAAATTTGCCTATTTCTTGTCTTTCTGCATCACTCTCCGTTTTCCCATCTTTGCAGGAATTGGGCCCTCGAGCCCATGAAGCTATGCAGCCTAAGATTCTTTTAGAAGAAAAGTTGCATAAGTGTGTCATTTCTGTCCTTGTGTAATCTGAGGCAATTGGTTTTACTTTACTGATATTTTTTGTGACATAGATGTTTACTGTCAAGTGTAGATTTAAGAAATTTTGTCACATGAACACTTGGAAAACTTTATGGTGGAAAGTTGATGGACCATGTGATAAATTCAGGAAGCAGCTAATCCTTCCTACATAGAACAGGAGATACAGAAAATCTTATACCAGATCTATCCTTATAGGTAGTCTTGTTTTATGGGCAGTGATTGTAGAGAGAGAGTAAATTGAATGAAATATATCTTCTTTCGCCACTTGCACAGTGAGTCCCTCATAGGAGGTATCAAAATAGCTTTTATTGCTGGAAGAAATTTGAAGTATAGTAATTGTGAGCAGATAGGAGATTTCTCGGATAAGTAACTACTCACTGTACTAACAGTTGCAGTTGTCTGGAGCCTTCTGGCTCCTAAGCTTCTAAAAATACACTTTTGCAGGCTTTGTTAGTCCTGATTAAGTATTTTTTTCCATAGCTGTTTTTGTTTATTCACACAAAACTTCTTGTAATTTGGCTGATAGCTTTATACCTGGCTGTGGACTGTTTTTTTTCATTTAATTTCATTAAATAGCATTTCTGCTTGTTCTCCTCATGCATACATGAGTACATGTGTATTAATAGCAAGTGACTTCTAAAAAATGGTTTCAGAAGCAGCTGATGAAAAGGGGACAGTACTCCCTTTTTTTCCCAGTTTTGTAAGCAGAACCATTATCTCCTGGAAACAAAACTTCATTTTTCATAAATAAGAGCTATTAATTCCTCAGGTTGTGCTACAAACACACTCATACTTAGTGTGAAATTACCTGAAGCTTAAAGGGTGACATACCTATAGCCCCTGTTAAATCCTAGTTTATTTGGGGGTGGCATGGGAAGAAGGGAGAGATATTAACATAGGAATTAATAGTTCTGGAGTAAAATGAGGTTATTTTCCTGAAATATCTTCCTGAAAGCATCTGAAGAAAATGTTGTTGGGCCACAGATTATCTTACCTTCTGATCTTTTTTAACAGAGCATCTTAGTGCTTCCTCTGATCTTGTGAGCCCCCCTGATGGAAGGAGTACATTTTGAAATTCAGTGTTTTCTTGGTATTCCCCTATGTCCAGACACTATTTTTCTACTACAAGTCTTCTTACTTATTCTTATAATATCCATTTTTCTTTCTTTTCTCATGACCTTGTGACTTAGTTTTTTTTATTAATGTTAATTTCTGTTATAAGAGCCTTACTATTCTGCTGCTTGAATGCCATGATGATGGAAGACATGCTTGAGTGAAAAAATTTGAGGGATCTTTTATAGTTCTGCTCTGTGAAACAACATGGAAAAAATAGATGTAAAGTATGATAGATGTGCAGTTTTTATACACAGGACTTTGGAACTGAGATTATTCGTTCTTTGTTGTTAATAGAAAGTACTTTGCCTTGCATGAAAAAGCATTAACATTTCAAAACAGTTATTCCTTTGGAGAGAATCTGCTCATAAAGAAGGCTTATAATTTGTAACTTGACTCTCAAATAAGCTTTTTACTAAACAGCTTATGAATGTGCATTAGCATGTAAGTGTTTGTCAGGAAAAAAAATCTAATTGAATCTTTCTTAAACAGGAAACATTTTACGTACTTATGGGCTTTATTTGAAACACCTTTATTTATTGCCTGCTGTAGGTGACCCTGCTTCGGCAGGAGGGTTGGACTAGATGACCCACAGAGGCCATTCCAACCCCTACCATTCTGTGATTCTGTGATTCAGGGGAATGGATCTAAAACTTACTAATTGAAGATGGGGCTTATTTTAGTCAATCATTATTTAGTATTCATTTAAGTTATATACCAGTAGAGATTTTTATGAAAATTGCTGTCTCTTTTCTGCCATAATTCTGTCATTCTGTAACTGTGAGTGTGCTCTGCTCATGAAGCTTTAGATCCTTTAGTCAATATGCAGAAGTTTCTAGCCAACTGAATGAGCAACCTACAGATGGAATTTAAACTATCTGTAATTGTAATAAAATTTTAGTTAAAAGTATTTTTTCTTAAAACCTGGCTATGAATGATAGGGAAAAACAGATACATTGGCATAAGTGCAGTACCACAAATAAAACTATAGCTGAATTCTTATCTGAAGTTACTTGAAGACTTTTGGAATGAATAGAAGACAGTTTGTATTTTTTATGGATTTTTGTATTCATCTTTTACGCTGTCAATCTTTCTTCTCATGTTAAGAAGATGAGCTGTAGATGTATTTCATCTGTTATGCCCATAATTTAAGTGTGCTTTCCTACTAGGAGGAGCTGAGACAGAGGGAAAATCGGTTGCTGCTGGCTTGATTTGAGTACTGAGCAGTAAAGCTGAGAATTTTTTTAATGTGGGATTTTTTTCAATTTTAAAACCTTATTGATGAAAAGTTAAAATGATTGATTTCTTTGAGAGGCAGACATTTACAGTATGGTTCAGTTCCCTTTTGCAATAAGGGGTCTGTGTACATATCAGGGAAGTTCTGTATGGTTATGTGTTGAAGAGTGTAAAAGCTATTTAACTTTTATTGTCTGATTTTTCTAAATTCTGTTAATAAATCTGTGGGTCATTAATCATAATGGCTGGGAGTCTTTACAAGTGCATGAGGACTCTCTTGTACTTACACATCTGACAAATGGAACAAAACAATGGCAAGCAGCTCCTGCTGCTTAACCTGCCTCGGTAGAGCTTGTGTGTGCAA